AAAACAAGCAAGTCATTAACAGTAAGGTCTCTTTAGGGCATCAAATGAACACCCGGATGGGGATCTAAGTGGACATGGCCATGGTCACTGTAATGATGCCCCACCTTGCTGATTAGAGACCATCCAAACCCAAGTGAAGGTCCATCTTCTGTGACTCTGTATTCTCCAGTGAGGTGTGAATTATCTGTCTTATCTCTCAACCCTGCTACTTCTCCTAAAGATAAAGTTTCCAGGGAACAGTGACCCCAAGGGTGGAGAGGAGGGAGGCACATGAGTCACTCCTCAGTTGCAAAATTTTGGAACTTCTCAGTTTCAAGAAATATAGGAATCAAAAAAATAATATTTTAATACAACATTTAAAAAATCAGAATTAATGCCAAAAATCCATGAAGAACAAACTATCAAAATATTGAAGGCAGTATCCAACCCTGCACTTTCCAGACCCTGCCTCCCTTGTTTCTCCCTAACACTGGTTATAATGCAGCCTGACACTGCGGAGGAGACATGTCATGTGTAAGGGTGCTCTGCATGGCGTGTGTCTTTGCAGGGCAAAGTGTGTAACCCGGTATATCTACATGTTCATTACCTAAGTTTCCACTAGAAATAAATCCAGAGAATGCCTTTGTGTTCCGTATTGAAAGTACTTATATCTGTCATATTTCTGAGAGTAATAGTAGCAAAGATGGCTACATCTCATTGAGTGCTTCCTATGTGACAGTCACACTGCGAGGCACATTACGTAAAGTAATGGTCTCTCTGAATGCTCGCAGTAACTCTATGAAGTAGGTACTGGTATTCACCCTGAGAGGGAAGTGAGTCAGAGAGTCGAGTCACTTGCTTGAGCTCGCCCCACTAACGGGGGGCAACCCAAGATGAAGTTGTAACTTACCCACTCAGGATTTGAATCTGGATCGGTATTCTGGAAAATGTGCTTTATGCCTCCAGAATGGTTTAGTAGGTTTGGGTGATGGCCTATCAGAATTGCATTGCTAAGAGCTAGCCATGTGTCCTTTAAGCCTTATGCTTACTATTCCAGAGATTCTCCATTAGGAATCAATTCTTCCTCCACCATACATCTTCCCCCAGTTTCCTGGTATTTCTTGGGAGGAAGGAGAGAATGAGAAGAGAGAAGATGATGACGATGGTGATGGGGGTGGTGACGACGGTGGCAGCGTGTACTGAGGCCTTTACACATGCCAAGTGCTGTGATGGGAGTACTAACTTCATTTAGTCTTCAAAAAGGCTAGGAAAGATGGTTCATCCCCATTTCGGATCAGAAAACTAAGTCTCTGAGAATGTATGGAACTTGTCCAAGATCACAGTCTCAGGCAAAAGACAGATAAGATCTGCTCTCCTACTGACCACATTGTAGGTTGGAAGGAAGAAGAGCTAAGTGGCACCATATTAGATCAGCCCCCGCTTGTCTTGGAGCCCTCGGAAGTGGTTGCTGCTGCTGGGCAGTCCCCAGCTCTCCAGGGGCCCGGTGGCCCTGCAGGCCACAGCTATGACTGCCGTCCTTTCTGGTTCCAACTACCAAACCCTTCCAGCATTATCCCCAGAGGGCACCCTGTACAGCTGTCCGGGGTGCTGGGATTTTATTTTAGGATTAAAATAGCCTTGTTTAGGATGTTTCCAATGAATATACCTAAGTTAAAAGCAGACAGCAAAGGGGCCGTGGTGAAACCTAAATACTCAGTACATGTTATCAGCTCACAGTTTTTATTCCTAAGGATTTAGAGACCATTTTGCCAAAACCGTAGTGCCCAGGTGTTAGAATATCTCTGGAAAAGGCTTATCTGAACCACAGAGAAAACAAAATGGGAAGAACTAAAAATGTTGTATTAATTTCCTCTTCAGAAAAATCATAACAAATCTGCTGTATTAGCATCAATCTCAACTAAAGCAAACCTGGCGAATAAGCCCTGTAAGTTGCCTGAGGAAGCACAAGAGCTGTCCAGAGGCCAGGAGCGTGCTAATCACTGTTGAACAACGGGCTTTCTGGGAGGGAGTTAGCCTATTCCCATGGTGTAAATGTTCCCACCATGGCCTATTTCCTGCCTACCAAGGTGCAACCCTGGACAGGGAGCTGGGAGGAGGCGCCCGGGACTAGCTCTCATGAAGAGCACCCCATTATTCCAATCTCTCGGGAGGAGGGATCAGATGAGCCACTCTTCCGGTGCAGTGCTTAATCCTGGAGAACTGGACCCATGTGCTGTGTGACCTTGGGCAAGTTGCTTCACCTCTCTGGGCCTTTGTTTTCTCCTCTACAAAGGATCGTAGGAAAGATCACTTTCCCCTCTGCCATTTTAAAGTTCTAAGAAGGCAGGGCCTCCTGCCTCCTCCAACATCCAAATGCCTCCAAGCGCCTTTGCAGAAAACCAAGTTAGCGCCGCGAGGCGCCAAGCGTGCCGCCAACTCCATCTCCTGAGCAGAAGGTTTGGAAGGAGCGATTCTCCCTTTTGCCTCTTTAAATGTGTCGCCAATGGGGCACCATCCACTTTTTACACTTCCCCTGCTGGATGTGAGATCCAGGAGGAATGGATGTTCCAGGGCTTTCTTGCTCTCCTGGGGTGGGAATCTGTGCGTGTGATACATGGAGCCGCCTCCCTCTGCCGGGCCCGCCCTGCTGCCCTCTCTGCAGCCGGGGAGCCCTGACGGTGCTCTACCTTTGTGCGTGTTTACTGCTTGCTCCCTGGAAGCCACGTGCGAGGAGGGGGGCTGCTCTTGTCAAACAGGGGTGGGGGTCGCTATCTTTTCCTGGAAGGTGGCGCGTCTCTCAGCAGAGAGAAGAGGCATGTCGCCCAAGGCTTGCTGGCAGTGATCGGAGCCAGCGCCGGTTTGCCTGTTGTCACAGCCAAAGCGAAATGCCACCTCTGCCTAGAAGCCAGAGTGCCACACTCCTCTTTGTGTCCCCGAGAGACACCCGTCGTAAGGCCTGGGGCTGGCAGGCTTGGCCAGGAGGTCATCCCGGTCCCTTGAAGGTCATCTTTCATCCCCTGGAGCCGGGGGTGGAAGGTATAGAGGGATTGCTCGTAACTCTCAGCATAGGTTCTTCGATTCCCCAGATTGCATGGCAGGAACAGCCGGTACATGCGGGATCTGAGGTTTGTGGGGAACACGAGAGCATTCCCAGAGAAAGGCAGGACTGAGGGAATGCCAGTGACCCAGGGACACCCCCGTCCCCAGGCCCCTTCCTAACAAACTCAAATACAGTGTGACAGCACAGGCTCCAGAATCCCAAGGCAGGAGGTGCCAAAAACACCCCAATAACCACTACACCCCCTTAAAAAAAAAGTTTCCGTAACATGTTCTCACTCCTAGAGGGGGAAAACCTGTCCATGCCTGAAGCAGCCTGACCCGCAGCCACCCCTCCTCGGAGTGGAGTGCAGCTCTCAAGACAGAGCCCCACCCCGCCGCCTGCTCCCGGGAGGGACAGAAGGTGCCTCTGCTGCGGTGTCACCTCCCAATCTTTAAAAGAGCAGACGCTGGCTGTGAGGCTGGGCGCTGCCTTCACTGGGGTGTGTGGTCTCCGTGGCGGCTGGGCTCCAGGGAGGGCGCCTGTGGCTCCCGCGAGGCAGGAGCCCAGACATAAAGGATTTCAAAGAGGCCACCGCACGCCAGGCTGAGCCGCCGCCGCCACCGCCTCTTGCAAGGTGAAACTTGGCAGTCCCTACCTTGCAAGCAAAAAAAAAAACAAATTAATTTTCTTTAAGAAAATTAAGTCAGACACGAGGCTTGGGAAAAACTGTGAGTGTTAGGCATAAACTGATTTTGGATGATCTTTAGGTGAGAAAGGGTGGAGCTACCCTCGGAAACATGTTTTTATTTACGCTTTTCAAATCCCCACTGGTGTGCAGTGTGTGTGTGCGTGTGCAGTGTGTGTGTGTGTGTGTGTGTGTATGTATGTGAGAGAGTGCCTCGTCTCAATTCTCTAACCACTCTTCTTTTCTTTTTCTTTCTTTCTTTTTTTTTTTTTTTTTTTTTACATCTTTTCTGTGCCCAGTTCATATAAGATGCCCAATAAAGCACTCCATAGGTCCATCCGCACCTTTTCATTTTATTTGTAAATTGTTTGGTATCAGCGGCGATGCGTAATGAAACCTGGTGAAGTTTAAAAGATTAGATTTTTTTTTCCTCCTGACACTTCCTAACACTGTTCATATGTCTCGGAGAGGGATTTATGAATAGATGAGCAGTGCTGCAGAACGAAGCTGCACCAGAGACTTGCTGCTCCACAGGGGTGGCAGTCGACAGTGACACCGCTTCAAGCATTTTTCACAGACAAGAAGCAAAATTTAACCCCCTTCAGGGGAAGTATGATTTCAACAGCTTGAAATGAGCTCATTTCTAGATGGTTTTTTTTTCCTCTCTCCTCTTCCATAATTTTTTGGTGTTAAGATTAAAACAGATTGCACAGCCCATGGAAGGGCACGGAAGCTGCCCAGAGTAGAATTTGGCCGGGAAAGAGAAACCCTCTTTCATTGTCTTTATCCAAACACCCCAGTGAGGAAAATGAAAGGAAACTTGGTCCTAGATTTTTTTTTTTTTTAAAGACTCTTAACCATGATTCTTGGAGTTGTCCTTAGCAGACACAAAGGCTGGATATTTCCAAAGGTAAGTCGCAAGTAGCATCCGTTAGTTCAGTGGAGAAGCCCTCTCTCCTGGGCACCAAGACAACAGCATTAGGAAATAAACAGAGACTTGAGTCTCCAACAAAACGGAGAACCAGAAGAGGAAGTGTGATCTAGGTGAATCAATCATACCGGACATGAGGTGTCTAGAGTGGAGGGATTCTGTCTTACATTCAGAGTCCAGACCAATGTCTTTTAGGCTGGTCTGGTCTTTTGAGATTTTGTGTCAATAACTGTTCATGATCTCTATGCTCTCGAATCCTCTTTAACCATTTTGTTTCCCCTTGGAGCAGAGTGGGGCACCTGCCCCTCTCTGCTCTATCAACACCCCATGACGTGTCGCTGGAGAACTTTTGTCTCTTTTTTCAGCAATGGTACAACAGCTCCATGAGCGTGATCTGCACCTGGCTGACGGACCGGATGGACTTACAGCTTCACATTTATCAGTTGAAAACACTAATTAGGATGGTAAAGGTAAAAGAAAAGCATTCTTCTTCTTTGCAAAATAGCTTACTGACATGCGTTCTATTGGCAAACTGCAAAACTTCCTTAACACGAGGAATGTGGGTTTACTTTTAAAACAAGATGATTTCCACAGCAGTATCTCATGCAAGAGCAACCTATCGGGTTATTGTGGGATGCATAGTTCATTTATTGCTCAGGAAGCAAAGGAAAATGTCACAGGAAGGAATTTGACATGTTATCAAGGCTGCGAAAATACTGGATGCATTCGCCATGCAAAAAATACCATAAGGGCTTTGGACCCTTTGCATTATTCGTTCAAAAGCTGACTGTGGGTACCGCCACGCTAAGCAAGGCAGTTACCAATCTTATTTATGGCTGAATTAAATAAATGTTTGCCACAACTGATTTAATAGAACTATTTACCTCCAGCTATTTCTAAGATATGTCCCGAGATCATTATCAGGATGCAAATCAATATTGTTCTGTCGTTAATTGAAGTAGTTTCTCTTACAATGCGTGTGTGTGATCCACTGGAAGGCTCACAAAGGTGAGATCACATACCCTGAAAGTAGCGTTTCTCCTGATCTTGTGTGTGTGTGCCTTGGACTAATGATAATTATTTCAGCGTGAAATCTCGGTGGTTTACATGAAATAATAAGATCACAGAAGGGGGTAAATACGGTTTTGATCATTTCAGTTTCCATTCAATGCTTCTCCATAGCAGGTTTAAAAAACGGTGGTATGCAAAAATCTCATTCAAAGTCTCTTTAAAAATATGGTAACAATAAAACAAAGCTGAATTTATATTACTTAACAGTTTGCCAAAGGTCTCCCCCACCCTTGCTGCCCCACCCCTCCCTGATCCCTTCCCCCTTTGCCTAGTCTCTTTCAGATTAGCACCATCTCACTGAGGTGCTCCTCTCCCCAGTGAGGACAAAACCAGCTACTGTTCCGTTGAGTGTAATTAAGGAGAATTATTATCATCTGCGCTTGGTCTGGCAGCGTCCACCCAGGGAAGGTTACGGCAGCGCACTGCCGCTCTTCAAAAAGAGCATGTGCACTCGGACTGTGGGCCCAACCGAATTTCCACGTTTTTATCTCAGTTCCTTAAAGCAAACTCACTTAGCCATTATTGTTTGACTACCTGAATTCCATTTTCTGGGTATAAATTCTCTTTGGGGGAATTTCTGTTTGACCCTCCTGAATAGACATGAAAAGAAGACATTGATTTTAACATTTTAAAATACCTTCCTATTACTAATATCGCCAGGTCTATGTTGGGAATGTTGGGATTAGCACTATTTTATTAAGGGGAAAAAATATGTCAGAGAGGAGGTTTATTCTTAGCCTTTGCAAAAAAACAAAAAACAAAAACAAAAAAAAACAAAACAAAACAAAAAAAAAAAAAAAAAACATGAACCATAGGGAAGGGACACAGAAGCATCACTGCCAAAGGACCCCAAAAGTGGGGTGGCCCCCTTAACTAGAGCCTCCATATGGGAGGGTGAGGCAGAATGCGCCCCCTCTTTACAAAGTCCGTTACCCAGTCTCCTTCTCTAAGGCAGACATCAGAAGGTAACTGGCTGGCTTTGCCGCATCTGCAGCTCTCCACCCAGCCATTCATCATTCAGCAGCATCTCCTCATCCAGCCAACATAAACACACATTAGTTGAGCCCCTCAAGGCAGAGGACTGAAAAGTAAGGAGACACAGCCCTGCCCAGCTGGAGAACAACGGGATTCGCATGAAGAGAACACTCAAGTGCTTTCCACCTTTTGAAACAATTAAGTTATGCTAAGTGGCCGCAGGATGAATGAAAAGTACAAAATAAATCAGGTTAACTGCCTGGTATCTGGTACCTACATTTACTCAGCCTCTTAGCCTTGCCCCTCAAGGTGAAGACAGTTGAGGTAGCTCCCTAGAGAGCTAGCATGTCCATCCACTCAGGATGACCTTTTCACTTAGTGTCAGAACTGGGTCACTTGGAAGGGGGAAAGCAGGTGCCATGAAACATCAGGCCGGGACAATGGGCATAAGCTGGCAAATAGACATGGAGTCACCCTGTCCATGATGTTACACAATCGGCCTTTGCGAGCTGGGTGCACTCCCTCATTAGCTGTGTGATCATTACAGCTCTGCGTGACCTTCATGAGAGGTGGACACTGGGACGGGGACACGAGGCCGGAGAAACAGAAATGCCGTCGGCAGGGCCGTGGCAGTGTGTCCTGGTCCTTCTTTCGCTCCCGTAGCAAGTTCCCCATGTCTACGGGGAAGCACACGGCAGATCGCAGCTCAGTGAGATGTGTTGTGACAGGGAGAGCCGTGCTGGAGAGACCTCTCTCAGCGCAGTTCCCTGCGAAGGAGACGACAGCCAGATGCTTTTTGTCACGTTCAATTAACGCTCAGGGGTTTCTAGAACAGCAGCTCATGGGATACCTATGGAAACCCGGGAGAAATTGCCTTGAGGAACAAAGAGGAAGTCTGTGGTACAGTAATTCCAAGCCAGACCTCCTGAAAGGGGGCCAGGTTTGTTCCCTGAGATGCTGACGTTGTGATTGGAAGAGATGTGCTTCTTTCCCAAGGAGAGACCAGTCACATGCCAGCTACATGTGGGTGAGGCCCTAGCGCCCCATCTCCTGCAGTCATTGCTGCGCCTAAAAAGCTTCACACACAACATGCGTGTGTCTGTCTTGTGAGCGAAACAGAGGGCCATGCAGTTCTGAGCCTCAAAAATACCAAAGACCAGACTGCAACCCGAATCACAAAATACCATAATCGCTCAATCCGTTATTTATATGCAAATAGCCCCTTCCACTGTCTCTCATATCCTATTATAATAATGTAAGAGAAAGAACCAGACCAGTCCCCCATCTCCCCTTAAAAAAAAATAAAATAAAATAAAACAATTCTGGAACATTTCCCTTTATGGAACTGAATAAACACAAGCTTATGTTCTTTGCTTTGTCTCATCTAATAAAGTGTATCCTGTCACAGTGTCTCATTTTCTGTCACTCAACAAGTCTGTTTCGGTTGCCAGTGCAATCTGAGCGCGGTGGCTTTTCATTTGACCACGCGTGAAGTGTGACTGCCGCTGACGGCCAGTGTTCTCACACCCCACCCGCTCCGTCCTGTCCCTCCCCTCCCTACCCTGATCCCTGCATCTCTTCCTCCCCAGAAAACCTACAGGGACTTCCGATTGCAAGGGGTCCTGGACTCGACCTTGAACAGCAAGACGTACGAAACCATCCGGAACCGTCTCACTGTGGAGGAAGCCACCGCGTCGGTGAGCGAGGGCGGCGGCCTGCAGGGCATCAGCATGAAGGACAGCGACGAGGAGGACGAAGAGGACGATTAGAAGGCCCGGGTCTGGACCCTATAACCAATGCATGTCCTTAGTCTGTTAGTTACCCCATTAGGGAAGTTTCTGTCACCCACCATGCCCATGAGATGTTTACCAATACAATTGCCATCTTAGCTCTGTGGTATCAAGATTAGTAAATGACCTTCAAGCCCCCCATTTCCTGCCCCAGGACTATATGTTTACAGCAATCCGGAGCACCATTCTTTAAAATCTTGTTCATGGAGAACACGTAGTCCCACTGCTAGGCGTGTCCCTTTGCCGGTAAAGCCAAATGATGCTTCATTAACGTACGTGTATGCGTTGACAATGAATGGATGTGAGGGCCAGTTCACCCAGAACTTTCACTTCTTGGTTTCCCATATGTGGATGTCAGTTATTTAAATGAGTATAATAAATTAATTAAGACACGTAGTTCTGCTTTGTTTTGTTTTTTGAGAAACAAGAGGCAATGCTCCAACCACCAACGTTTGGTTCTCTCTGTTCCCTTAAAGCTAAAAACAATGAATCCCTGGTGTCCTTGTTACCATCCTTCCATTTATCTTATAGTTAGCCAAAACAGGATGGCTACGTACCTGTAGGTCGATCCTCCTCATTGCCATGGCAAAGGTTAGCCTATCAGACTGAACACCAAGCACAGTTCAGAGCAACTGTCTTCTGTCCTAGTGTATCCTATTACATGTTCCATTTTGCTTTTCTGTTTCAATAACCATGTATGTAAAAAAAAGAAATGGAATATTTAAATTACAACCTTAGACTATACATGTGTTTATAATAAGATATGGGTATTTCCTTCGGTAGACTGTAACCATGATTTTGATGGTTTTGTTCCAGCTGTTTTTTATATCTGTCATGTACATTGCATTTTGACCTGTAACTGCACGACCCTGGGGTCCGCTGCAGAGCTCCCTCTTTCTGTGTAAACTAGTGGATCCATCCTGCTTTTGCCTTATATAAAGCCTACAGTTATGAAAGTGTGAACAACTGTGGCTTCTCAATAAAGAACTATTCAAATGTCCGGAGAATACACGTCTGAGTCCTTTTCCCTCTGTCTTCTGTGCAAGTCAGAACTGGGACGCAGGGAACGGGCAGGGGGGGGAGGGGGGAGGAGGAGTGGTTTTCTCAGCGTGCTCTCCCGCCTGCTGGACCGGGTCATTCTCCAAGCTCGTCTTCACAAGGGACGGCCGAAAACTTGGTGAATTCAGCCTCCATCGATGCAGAGTCTGTGGGCATTTGGACATGTTGGACAGATTACACTTGCATTATAGGATAAATAAGGGTTTGCTAAGCAAGGGAGTCGTGTAAACGAGAGAAATGTTTCTCCTGTGCGCGGAGAAGGCCAACAAACTGTTTTTAAGCACCACTTTAACAGCAGTGTTTGCATTCAAACAAAGCGTGTGCCAATTATATATGATTCTTATATATTTGTTACAGCATTTTACAGGATTCTCTCTGGCGTGGAGCACGTCTCTCTTTCCCCAGCCTTGTCAGCCTTGTCCCCTAAAGGTCATCACCTGGGACTGAGAGAAGCAAAGGCGGCATTGCCTGGTCTCTTTCATCTGTGATCATCCCTAAACAGGCTGACCTTGCCGGGGGCTGACCGAGGTGTAGGCGAAATGGCCACTTTTCCCATAGGACCAGGCACAGCGCTCACCACTTGCTCTCTACAAACCAACCCTCTGAAAAGCACCTCGCACTCTTGTTTAAGTCTCAACGCCTGCGGGTGCAAATCACAGTACCCCTTGCCCTCGGTGGGATTATAAGAACTCCCACTTATTGAGCAGCTCCTCTATGCCAGGCAAGCTGCGTCTATAGCCCCATTTACATATCACAACAAGCTTGAGAGGAGAGGACTATTGTTATCCTGATTGTACATGAGAACATTGAAGTGAGGAAGGTTAAGGTAACTTGGCCAGCCTTGGCCCAGCTCCCTGTAGAAACGTGAATACAGAGGACCCGGTGCTACGATTGGTGGAATGCATCATTCAGGTGGGAGCAATCTTTGCCCAATGGCACCATGTTAAGTCAGTGTGACAAAATTTTTATGAAGTTATTTGTATTATGTCCTGAGTTGCAAATCAAAGCATATTCCCTGCAACAATGACAAACAAAAAGAGTTGCAAGTAAAGAGGAAGCATCTGGTTGCATATGAAAGTGGAAAAGAAAAAGACGCTCAGAAACTCTGGGAGAGAACAAACTGAGGGAGTCAGATAACTAACCAAAAGGCATGATCCAGGAGGCAGAAAGAGACGCAAGTCATAGAGACTGTCTCAAAAACCAAGGTTAGCACCTTTCCTTCCAGAGGAGTCTTCCTCACAGCCTACCAGTGAGGGGCGTGGTGAATACTGGTCCCAGAAGGGGGCTGTGGGGAAGACGTGGCATCAGAAGAGATCACAGAGGAAGAACTGGCCAAGGTTAAGTAAAGGTTATCCTAAACACTCAAAGCTGAGAAGGAGGCAGTTTTGGTATCTTGATCTTTCTTTTTTGTTTTTCTGGGACAAAATCTTGAGTTTTCTGTTCTTCCCTTTTTTATTATATTTTATTAAAATATACATACAGAAGAGTGCACAAATCTTAAGTGTACAGCTCAGTGATTTTCCACAAACAGAACACACTGATGGAACACCACCAGGTCATAAACAGAAGGTAATTAAATCCCGAGGCATACTGATGCCCAGGCCCTTCCCCCATCTCTGCCCCCTCCTTACTCTCCAGGGGTAACCACAATCCTGACATCGAGTTGCAATCATTGAATTGAACCTTTACATCATTAGAATCACAGCATCTATTCTGTAGTGTCTGTTTTCTTTTTGTTCTACATTATATTGTTGGTCTCGCTGTGGTTCGTTTCCTTTCACTATTCTGTATTCCAAAGTATGACATTACCACAAGTGTATTTATTCATGTCAAAATGTGCTGTTGTTTTTTTAGTTTGGGGCTATTAGGAATAATGTTGCCATGAATCTCCTTGCACGTATCTTCTGATGCAACTGCCGGGTGATGGGTAAAGGCTTGTTCATTTTTAAGAGGCCCTGTCAGTTTTCCAAAGACATGAACAGAGTTATACTCTCACCAGCAGGATAGCAACATGCCCCAACACTAGGTATTGCCACTCTTTAATTTTTATCATTTTGGTAAGAGGTGGAGTGGTGCATAATTGTAGTTCACTTGATTATAAAAATTGAGTCCATACATATGCATTTTAACATATGCATGGGCAATTTGGATAGGCTCTCTTGGGAAACTCGTGTTTCTTTCTCCCTTTTTTTATTTTAGAAAGAGAGGAAGGTAGAGAGTGAAAGAGCGATACAAACATTGATCATTTGCCTCCCGAATGCACCCTGACTGGGAATTGAACCCTTGACCCTACGGTGCACAGTGAGGCATAGAGGTGTTGATGGAAATGTTAACCCGTATAACATTCAGGGCACATACTGATCAGCACTGCCAGAAACAGCCAGGCTCTCTCTAGCCCCTCTCATCAGCAAGCAGGACCTTCCTAAAAGGCAAGTGTCACTTGTTTCTCCTTCAGTTAAAAGCACCCAGTGGCTCCCCTCGCTCATAGAATGAATCCTAAGGTGGTGTGCACGGCCATGCCCACCCTCCAGCTTTCTCTCTTAACTCTGCTCCTCTTGCTCTAGATGTCAGCATCCGCCATCATCTTTCCCTTCCACCTGTGCACCCTGGTTCTTCCCACCTGTGACCCTTCCCCTAAGCACCTCATCTCATCCTTCGAGCCCAGCTACATTTGCTTCCCCAGAAAGCCTTTCCAAACCCACTCTGGAGTCTGTGTCCATTTCCCTGGTAAATACCCTCCTAACACTCTTCTCCTCTCCATTTTCATCACACTCTTCTTGCCGGGTATTTGCAGAATTGCATGTTTCATGCAGCATTTCTCCGACTCAGGAAGGTGTGGCCTTTCCAGTTCTCCTACTCTACCTTCATTGCAGTCACTAAATACACGACTAATAAGTGAAGTCTACAAGTATAAAACCATAGCCAATCTGATTACTCTTAGAACCCTTAGTCTAGGTAATATGAATCTTCAAAAGATTCAAGTAGATTAACTACTAGAAGATTCAGAGGGAGAAGGAAAAGGTGGGTTGAAGAGCACAGAGAGAGGACAGGAAATGGTGTAAACTAAAGCAGAGAGAGCTGAGGGGATGTGCCCCTGGCTGAAGCTGTGTTCTTCTTTGATGCATTCCCAGTGAAGCTAGTAAACGCTCAACAGATACATTGACTTAAGACGGCGATGACTATGCTCAGTGTGCTAGAAGATTTGTGCAAGGGGTTGGGAAAGACTAGAGTGGGAAAGGTGGACACTTAGTTTCACTGAGTTTGGGTTGGTCTGTCTGAATAACAGAGCTAACCAGTATTTTTATTTTTTCAAAATATTTGAAGACATTTTTTAAGTTTAAAAAATCAAATAGAGAAGAATTATATGAAACAAAAAGTTGAAGCCACTTCCTTCCCAAACCCATTTCCCCAAAGTAGCCATTGCTAACAGATGGGCACATATTCTCCCACATATGTTCAAATCACATACAAGTATATTGGATATATATATATATATATATATATATATATATATATATATATATCCACCATCCAATATCCAGTTGGATGTACTTATATATTTTATGTATTTATATTTTTAAATGTATTTTCACAAATGGGATCCATCCTCAGCCCACTAAGGCAACTTATATTTTTTCATTTATCAAGGTAAATGAAATTCAAGGTAAAGTCATTCCCATGTCTGCACATATAGATTTTTCCATATTACTTTTGATGGTTGTGCCATATTTAAGGAGATTGTCTGGTCAAAGAAGAAACAAGAACAAAGTAAGGCAAACTGAAAATCCAGGATGAAATCTAGGATGGACTGAAACACAATGGAGGAAATGACCATCTGTGGAAGTGACCCTGGAGACTGTTTGAAATGTGTGACTGAAGAATTTCTGAAACCCCCCAAATTCCATCGCCACCTAACTGCA